AAGTTACACACATTTTTGAAACTCAAATAAAGTATCACAGATTTATGCACATAGAGTATTATTATTAGGATAACTTCGGTATATATGCCGCACCTAATAAAAACCTTTATTAAGTATTATTTAAAATTTAAACTACTACTACGAAAAAAATATTAGAGATCCAATATATTTATCTTTCGTGTTAAGAAAAGAACTTTTTGAAATCCTTGCATTTTTACCATAGTATATCCTATGGGGGTGGATTATGCGGATGTTCTTAAGGAAGGTGGGGGAGGTATGTACAGTTCAAAAAAAATTTACAAATTCTTATAAATAAAATACGTAAAATGACACAATAACTTATAAAATGTGTTTACAACGTTCTATTAAGAAATAAGAATGATAAAATGTACCTATATGAAGTAATAAATAATAATTACAGTCTTCCTACAAACACGCGCGCATGCGCACAAGCACACACGCACACGCACACAAATTATAAGTGTTATATGACATGAGGTACTTATTTCATGTAATATGTTTATTGCATTTAGTGCATTGAATCTAATCTGCGCATTTTGTATGTTTTTTGGTTATAAATCGCCCACTAAAAATGTCGTATGTCCTAAATAAATGGGATATGGAAGACAATAAATTAAACAAAGAATGCAAGAGCAAAGCATACTTGTTATACAACATACTTTACTATTCCTCTACACTTATGTATTATGAAATAATCACTAAGTCTTTTAAACATCCTACAATAATCATTTTATGTAAATTATAATTTATGATGACGCTACTTATTACAGTGATAAATCGATACAATTCTTAATAATTTTATTAATACTAACAATAAAAACCTGAAATTATAACATAATGAAGCATCGAGTGACTCACCGCTCGGTGCGATTGATTCGCTATCTATAGACCTGAGTTCCAATCCCACCTGCGTCCAAACGCGATTTTTCGCATTTAAGGAGCCAAAAATGACTCCACTTGGTGATCAAAAGATCTATGATCATCAGCGCCGTTCAGATCCTATACTATAAGATATATATGTCTCTAATATTTGACTGAGGTAGGATTCTGTGGATCAATCACCCAAATCTGAAAACAACTTGATTCGAAAAACGAATATAGACCTCGGACAAAAGTGGAAGAGGTCTGTAGACGTGCTCCATACAAGGAGATAAAGGGTCATCATTATTATCATTATCATAATACTAATCTAACATAATACTAATCTAACATAAAGGCATGTAACAGAGTAGTTGCCGGAAAATTATCCCCACTTCTTCTATTTTTTCTGACTTTATATTCTCGCGCGCCGTATTTGTCGGAATTATCCTAAATAATTTTCCCGTTACCATAAGTTCTTCGGAAATAACACAGAAAGAGAATAGTTTTTTAGCTAAAGTAGGTACTTAAAGATTTAATGTAAATAGTATATATGCTGCATTAATACATTTTTAAATATGAATCTCTAATCTGTGTAATAAATTATATAAGAACAGACTCATGTGAGATATTTATGATAATATTGATAATACTTATGAGTAATCTCGTGAAGTTTGCAATACAACTAATCGGATATAATAAACGAAGTTTAGCTGATAAGCATACATAACTCTTTTTATCTTGTTTATGTCATTGCAGATAGAAAGGAATTTAATAATCTATGATATATTAAAAATTTTAATACTTTATATACTTATTTAAGTATATAGAAAATTGGAAACATGTGAAGATTTTACGATTTAAAAATATTAGAGAGAGAGAGAGAGAGAGAGAGAAAAAAAGAGCGAAGAAATATATTAGAGAGTGTTTTCCTCGTATTAAAGTTCATTAGTTAGAATAGTCGATAGGATGAGTATAGCAGCTCCATCAACTGAATTCTTTCACGCATCCCTTGAAAATAATAAAATTATATCGGAATATATATACCTGCTATTTTTACGCACGCATCGTGCTCCATTTGAGGCACGATGCGTACTTCCGCTCGAATCAGCTTCCACTTATTACCTCCATTGAGAAAAGAGAGTCCCCAGACATTTTCTCGCAGAGGTCAGCAAGCCAAGGCTCTCATGGCGGATTATGGACACCAGCGGTCATCGTCGAAAAAGGGGCCTAATCAAAGTGAGCCTATAAGAGCGAGCCTCAACAAATGTTTGATTCAGTATAGTCGGCGTAACTCGTAAGGCAAACTAGATACAATATTTATCTATGCGTGTCAGGCGGATCTATAATATGAAATTTGCTTATGTATATTTGTTTGTCATCGTGTACTATTGAGGCACCAAAATTATCGGTTCTCTGAATTACTAGTTCTCGTTATGTATAACTGTGAACATATGTAACTATGTGTAATTACAGTAAGGATCATTAGAGAGATATCTACGGAGTTGAATGATTATCCCTAAACTGCGTGATTTGAAAGCAAAATTTAGACTATGTCAACGTTAATATGCATTTCGCGAAGGGTTGCGAGCAACATGATCACCATTGATGATGTAATATTGGTTATCAGTATGCTAATATTTGAGTATTGTGAAAGTGCTTATTCCGAAGAAAAGCATTAAAATGAAAATCAATCAAGTTTACAATTGTAGAAAGATTATAAGGTAGAATCAAACTTGATTGGATTTGACTTCATTATCGGAAGAAAATAGAGACGGAATGATTTTATTGATTTAAAAATTAGGCCAAATATCTGAAAATTATTATATCGTCATAAATAATTATGTAGTAGAACATTCAAGCATGATAATGCTGTTATATATTTTAAAATTCTAACAATTTAAATATCATGCAGTTTACGCATTTTACATAATTATTTTAATAATCCAATATATTAATATAATAGTTAGATCTGTATTTGGCTAAATTTTTAGATACTGCAGCAAAACCGTTCTTTCCGTGTGCACATCTTGCGAATATTGCAATTTGACATTTAATTTCTCGTCGAACTGTTTGCGGAACAGTAGTGCTATATTTATAACGCACAAAGAAATTAACCAGTATGTAAATAAGATTTCACCGAGGCGCTCACACACGAAATCGAAAGAGAAACCGAAAACTTTCGTTCGTCGAAGTTTATTTAGTCTATATTAGCTGTATATGTGGCATTAAGCAGCAGTATAGATCTGATGACAGTTGCTAAAGGTGACGTCGCTTCCAACTTGATCGATTATTCAAAAGGCTATATTACCTTTGGAAACACACAAACCAAGGCTATTAGCTTGTAGTTGAAAGTCAGAGAGCATTCCAGAGCATTTCCGCGCAAGTTCTGCCTTAACGAATAATACTATAATCGATAGTCGGACTTTCGCAGTACCGTGACCGATGCTACCACTTTGTTTAATTTGGCTTAGTCATCGTAAAGTGGGGGAATCAGTTGCCGCTTATCCACGTTTCTGTCATTCGCGTCTTTGCAAAGTTCGCTCGTTACACGCAAGACGATAGACGGAGCTAAGATTGCTAAGTAAGGATTACGTCTCACTTCTGCTCGTTCTCGAAGTATAGCAAGAAGCTGACAGACGGGACGAGGCGAAGTTTCTGCGAAAGTGCTTTACCCTGTGAATTACGATCCGCAGACGAGAGTGCAATGTTCTCCGGGGAGATGAATGAGTCGACGCGCGTGTAAAGTCGCGGCGCCACGTGACTTTTATTCCCGGACAAGAGAAAGGAAGTTGAACCAGATCGTAAGTTTTCTCTTCTTTCTTTCTATTTTCTTCGATATTCATTCATTTCGCATTCAAAAATTCTGGAATACATTTCATTTCATACAAAACTCCAAGGAAGATATTTATCTGATCGCATAAAACGAAAGCAGTATATTTGAAAAAGAAACGATTAGTTTTATGTTATTCTTAGATATTTGTTTTTTTATAATATAAAAGGTACAACGTATAAAGGTATAAAATTATTATTAAGATGTAAAATTATTAAGTATATTGTAAATTAAGCTTTAAAAAAATTCATGATTCTTAAGAGTAAACTTTAATCAAGTTTGGTACACGTCAAATTTGAATAAATAATTTCATGTTAATTATATTCGGTAATATCAAAGACGTTTGAAAAATCATCGGTTTTATATTACATCCTTCGCTTTTTACCTTTTTATAACATTAAAGAATACGATATAAATAAAATCCTATTTTGTTAACAAAAATATGATTTAATTCATACTCTTTTATGTTATAAAAAGGTAAAAAGTAAAGGATATAATAAAATCAATGACTTCTTAAGCGTCAGTCAAGTTTTTAACTTTACTATAACAATGTTGTTACAAATAAGCAGATAATTTACACAGTTATTGTACGTACTCTCATTTTAAAAAGTCAGTACATATGTACACTAAATGTCGGTAGAATTATAAATGTCAGAATATGTTATAAATTTCAAACATATGTACATAAAGTAAAAGCAAGTCTAGACGACATGGCTGGTAGTATGCGTCAAATTAGCAAATATTACACACACACACACACACACACACACACACACACACACACACACACACATACGACATATATAATTATCCATATGAATGTAAACTAATAATTAGTGCATGTGCATAAAGTTGACGTACATTATCCATGTTGTCTGGAGCCGTCTTGACATCGTTGGGAGACTTACGTTACATAAACGTAAAAGGAGTCTATACACGTATTATTATACATCTTGCTGCTCCATTCTCTCTATATAATCTCACAATAGATCATAAAAACGAAGATAAAAAGATCCATGAAATGAGCTCTTTTGTTTTTAATACAAATGCAATAATTAATATAATATGTAATGTTTTTGAAGAAACGTTAAAGTTTTTTTCTGTGTATACTTGGAGTATATCTTTGTTTTAAAAAGACGCAGCTGCAAGCATAATCATAAATCTCGTGTCAAGTTATGACTAAGAAATTATTGTCATTTGCATCAAAACAGGTTTGAGTACGTAATAATCTTAAAAAAAATTAATTTATTTGATTTAGAAGTATTTTTATACTCTTGCTGAACGAGGACAGGATTAAAGTCTCAAAAGTTTCTTGAGTTACATAATGTGGAACGAAAACTGTAGCAAGGTTAAGGTGTTAAACGTGATAAGAACTTTCTGGTGATAAATGTAGTATCGAGACGCTCATCTCGTAATTAGTGGTACTAATTATCGAAAATATTTGAGGATTTTAGCTACTACAATCCAGTCGAAGCAATATGGCTCTCAATTTGAGGTAACATATATAATCAGGAATATAAAATTGTGCTTACAAAAAAACAGATTAGAAATTAACTATATTTTAACTTTTTCTAAAATTATAGTGAGGAAGAGCGTGCCATGATGGGCTATACTTCAATCGAGAATCCATCAGACGCCGAGAACAACAATGTAAATAATAACAATGTAAAAAATGAAAAGAGAGTTTCGAATGAAAAAAAATCGACTGTACAATACTCAAATTCAAAAGGAGTGCTCGCGCAGGTGAGATATATGATTAAACATTTTATATTAAGTAATAAAATTGCTTGTATTCGAGATAATTTTACATATTTTCTTTAATATTATTTTATAAAATTTTTTTAACACATTGAACGCCGGTGATGCACACCGTGACTATTTTCTTCAGTAACCGACGACACACATCATGTGTCACAGATTTTTGTGATTCCAGCAATATACTAAAACTAAAATAACTAATCGAGATTCTAAAATTGCATAAAAAAAATAATAATTTCCGAACATTGGAATAGTTTCAAGTTTCGACTTCTGCGGTACATCTATTAAAATTATCGGCGCTCAATGTATTAATCAACATTTTTGAAAATTCTTTAATTATCTATTATTTTTATTATCAAACTGTAAAGCATGTATAATAATAATAATAATAATAATATGTAGTAACAGTGGATTTAAAATTCAAAAAATCTTTAACGTTTCAAAAATGATTGCAAGAGTTTATTGTGCGCAAAAATTTTTTTGTTTGTTATCACTTACAACTGCAATAAATAAACTGGCAACACAAAAGAAAATTTGCAGCGTTGCAGAAGCGCAATGCGTGCTCAACGGTGCGAGATCAACGTAGATATTCTGGATTAGTGCCAGAACATTTTTCTGCTTCAAAATAGATAGAAAAGTACCAAACACAATACACCTATAATTTTTCATCACCTGTGCTTTCTTTTCATTTTATTACTTTTATTTTTTAGAGAAATAAATGTAATGCAGTACATCATATTTGCAACAATATAAATGTTATTTAAGAAAATTAAACACTGAATTCAATCTATCAATTTTTTTTAGCAAAACAAAGTTCTAAACTCTAGAAAAATAAACACAAACACAAAGTTTATTACAAAATGTAAATTATACATTTCTAATATCTCGGTAACACGCAAATTTTCAGCATAACAAAAGTAAAACTGCGCGTTTCTCTCAGTAAAGACTCATACATTGGCCTACATTTTTTACCTGTTAATTTCTGTTATTTTTTTTTGCAAAATACATATATATCTGTATATTCCGAGTAGTGAGAATTTTATTAATGCGTATTTTACCTTCGATATCGCATGGCACATAAATATCCTCCAGCAGCTTACGTACATCAGTATCTATAGAACAGTATAGAAGCAGGACAAATTTTACCCAATATAATAGCGATTTAAGTTTTAAAGAAAAGGAGCAGCGAAGCAATAGTAAATCTTGGCTAGTTGTCAACCACAGATTTCTTATCCTCTTTACGATTAGGTCGGGCTTGCTCTTGTACATATATCTGTTTGGAAACTGTTCCAAAGTTCTTTCTCGCAATTTCAGTTCTTCTATAAAAAAAAAAACTGAGCGGAAGAACCGAAGAGCATATGTACTTATGATCGTTAATCTCTTAGTAAAACTTAAGCGTGTCCAAACTTGCACATATCAATCATTTTTTTATATTTTTAGTTATTTAGATTTACAGTTGTACTTATTGATTCAATTAGAGTAATCATATACTAATTAAGCCGCGCGTGCACTTATTTGTTAATTTTCTGTTCACTTGAATAAATATTACCGACACTAATAATTGCATAACAATTGTGGTAAACACAATTAAGTAATTAACGATTGAATTGTTTGCAGTGTTTAGTCACAGGTGCAGTATTATTGGTGGCAACGGGAGGCGGTATGCCAATTGGTTATAGCGCAGTTTTGTTACCTCAATTGTCAGAAGAAAATAGTACCTTGCATGTGGATCGCGAAACTGGTTCTTGGATAGGTAAGAAAGCATGTTCAACAATTTTGTTCTTAGTAAAGAGATATAAAATAGAATATTAAAAAAAATGTTTACACAAAATAATAAATTTTAATTTTTAATGTAAAATTTTTATAAATTTTTTCCTATTTTTTAAATGAATGAATTTTTATGTCGCTGCGCTTGGCTTAACACCAATACACTACCGTTTCTCAAGATCATAGAACGTTTTATTGAATTAAAAGATGAACTTTTGTAAACACAATTTTCACGAGTGAGATTAGAAATCTCACAGTCCTTGCGAGTTCAAGAAGCAGGTTCAAGGTTGCACTTCACGACCCTCGCGCAAATGAAGCGACCGTCGCTGATTGTTGCAAACTGCATACTGTAACTGACCTACATACTGTCTCATTGGATAATTGGATTTGTCTCTTTATCAATGAGTGTCAAGACCAAGTTCGTGCAGGAAGCATACCGTTTGAAAATCTATGTACGTGAACTCAATGCCATAATTAAACGATCACATAAAAAACGTTACGACTCTTCATAAGTGAATTAAATCGGTGATACGACCTTTTTATAAAGCAAAAAAAATGCAGAGCTAGAGCATCGGCCAGAACATGAGAATTTTAATAGCTTTTTTTAATACATTTTCATTTATCTCGTGTGCATACCGCATATAAGCTGCGCAAAATGTATTTACCAACCTATACGTGCAGTGTACATGGCAAAAAGCAAGTGTCGGCATATAATGCGATATATTACCACGTACAGGGTGAAAATATATTTTATAACATCATAAAACTTGCGACGACCGGCGCATTATACATTTTACAGTTTGCAAATGGCGGTTATACGACTGCTACAAAAACTATGTACATTTATACGAAGCCACATAAGAATCCTCAATATTGTTCTATGTTCATTTTACAGACCGCAATAAAGTATCTTCGGGTCTATGAAAAAATCTATGGAGAAAATCTTTGCTGTAAATTAGACTAAAAATTCAGAAGATAACAAAAATTGATTAAGAAACAACGTTTAATGATGAAACTATCGAAACTATCGAGAGTATTTGATATTGCATGAAGTTTTCAATTATTTCAAAATTGAAGACGGAGATATGACACGAAATCCATTTTCATATCTCTGTCCATAAGATTATCCATAAAGCGATTGAATGGGACTTAAAGGAATTATTCTGAAAATGTATGGATCACGTATGTGTTGAAAGTTTGTTGGCGAACACATGAAATATATTGCGAGGTCGAATTGCGAGTTATAAGCTTCTTGTGGGTGGTTTTTGCACGAATAACTTTACCATTACAGTTCAGAATTTATTTTACCATCTATTACGATCCTTATCGAAGATTATTGATAACTGTATGCATTTTTTGCAATTTTTGATGGTTTGTTTAATCAATAATTCCTAAAAGTTCCAAAACTCATTATTTATTCAATCATACGCGCCATTCATAAATTACCGTCAACACATTAAAATATTTCATTATAGCTTCATGCGTTATTGATGCATCGCTTTCCAGCTTATCGCAAAATTACATTCTTTGGTGTCTGAAAATCAATTTTAATAGAGAATTAAAAGTAATAAAATTACTATGTACATTAAAGAATTAAAGTTTTATAATAAGAATGATTTAAAATTCGTTTATTTATTATTACTATCTCAAATTGTAATATAAAAAAATACTGAATAAAAATTTTTGCAAAATAAATATGAAAATTTATAAATGGAAATATATTTCAGTAAAACAACAATCGATGAAATTGATTTACATCGATAGAATATAACTTACGTGCTGAAAATTAATTCTCTTTGTTCATTAATAAATAAATGAAATAAGCTTTATTTCGTTATGTATTTTTGTTATATATAATTAAAAAAATTATAATTTTGAGTATGTTTATAAGTTTAATCTATATACATTATATATGTATATATGTACGTACACATATACACATACATATATACTGTTCGCAAATGTTGTTTTATTGAAAAATATTTTTATTTCAATATAATTTGCAAAACTCTATTATATATCTTTTCGCTTCTAATATCGTAATCTGAAGTAGTAATAATAATAAATGTTTGTAAGTCTAAGTTTTACATCTAAAAAATTAAAAAATCTAAATATTAATGTGTTAAATTAACAATGAACTGTATAAATTTTACGATAAATTTGTTTCATTTGTTTCGCTTTTATATTCAGCAACTTTTTTCTTGAGTCATGAATCTCGTAGCTGTTCTGCGTTTGTCTGATTAAACTTGAATAACCGTAAAATTTTTCTTCTCTAACAAAGGTATGTGTAACGAATCCCTTTAATTTCATTAAAGCGGAAGCAACACGATAAAAAGACAAACTTGATGTACAGCATGTTACTGTGTGATACTGATTGCATTCCGCGTAAATGTAATCAATAGCAATGTACGGAGAATGTTGATAGCTTGGAACAAGAAGAAGTGGAATTGCAATTTGCATTAATTAGCTAGTCCTACGAACATTCCGCAATGACAATTTCGATAAATCGAATACCAATAATGAAAGATCAATAGCAAAATCATCGATCGTGTTATTTGAAACTTCTATTTCCTCGAGTGCAAGTTAAAATGGTTATCACTTTAGAGGCTTTCCGTGTACATTACAGTACTCTTCTAATTATAAAATGTAAATTTTTATGATACGGGCTAACTTTTCTCATTTCCGGCAAAGACGTAAGAAACTTGTATCTCGTCTTAATTCAAGCATGCAGCAATGTACTTATAATCTTATCCCCTTAAGTCACTGAATAATAGCGAGAGTTATCTGACTCAACAGCTTTTCCTGCGACGTCGGCAGGAATTTTCAGTACGTTTATTTCCTGCGCGGGCATCGTGTATCGATAATCACGTACGCGATGATAATACGCGATTATGTGTCGTTGCGAGTTAAACTTTTAACATTTAGAACACACAGAAGCATCCTACGCCTAGTCCAATAATAGTGTAGATATACATGTGATCGTATATAGACCGTTAATTGCTCTGTTATGTCCTGCGATGTATAATAACGTTTTAACAAAGCTCGTAAGAGGTTTACGATCTCCACGCAGCTATGTATGTGGCGTTATATACACTCATTGATGCATAAATCTACATTTACGTCGTGCTTAGACTCCAATTTTGTTAACTTTTTATAGCACACAATTTCTTAAACGGACGAGAAAAGTGCGTTAAATCCCTTATCTCTTTATCTACAAAGCAGAAAGAAGTCAGGATCATAAAAGAGGGTGTTAGAAGAAAAGATAGGATAGAGTTCCAAGTAGCAGGGGGAGGATTTTTATAACGTCTTATTTACGTTAAAAGTGTTATTAAAACATTCGCTTGCTGCTTGGCGTATTCCTTTATAAAGCACTTTGCGTTTCTTTTATGGACTAAATGTAATTATCAAAGTAACTAAATGCAATTATTAAAGCGACTAATTATTTGTGTTGTATAGCTGCAGTTCACAGTCTGGCAACTCCTATCGGGTCGCTGTTATCAGGACCGTTTCTCGATGCAATTGGTCGACGAGGATGCCTTCAATTGTCGGTAATTCCTCTGTGCATAGGCTGGTTGATTATTGGTCTGTCAAGGAATGTAACTACCATTTTAGTAGGAAGAGTTATCTGCGGTTTATCTGTAGGATTCTTGGCGGTACCCGCACAGGTGCAAATTCTATTTAAATTCTGACTGATTGTGAGATATTTGAATAATATGAAATTTAATAAAAGAATTTTCGATTGATTCCAAAATTGGACATATACAAAAATTAATGTTTAAAAAATTATATTATATACAAAAAATTAGTATTATTTACTCAATTTGCATATGCTTTTATTTAATTTATTTATTGCACTCTTTCTGCATGTTTGGCATAAAACATTTTTTTTAAACGACATTTAACGCAGTGACATTAACGCAATTACCTTTCTCTTGATTGGTTTAACCTTTCTTTAGTCATGAATGAACTTCTACCATTTGGTTCGCTGTTTGACTTTTACTATTTATCTTATCGATCGGTTTCTCTACTTATTGCACTATATTTATCTCTGCTACTAGAGCAGTAGCAAAAATTTACACTATTATTAGAGATGTATACCGTCTGCCGTCTTTTGTTATCTGTATTCAATTTATTAGTAAATTATGAAACCGATCAGAAATTCTTTTAACAAAAAGAGAGTTTTGTTTTATTTTATTCTATTTAAATAATATATTATCAATAAATTTAAATATAATTCTTTTATTTTTAATTAAAAAAGATTATTATGTATTTATTTGTTATAAAATTTATGTTAGTTACCAAAGTTTTTTATTGATATTAAAAGATAATGTTTATTTCAAACTATGAATGTTGTGATTTGTTTAGGTACTGGTAGGAGAAACAGCATATCCGAGTCTCCGTGGCTTCCTGGTGGTTGGTTCGTTTGGTGCATACTGCGCTGGAATATTGCTGGTTTATGCTCTCGGTGCTTCTTTTAATTGGGACATCGTGACCTTCTATGCTATCATACTTCCCATTGCAGCCTTTATTGCTCTTTGTTTGGTTCCTGAAAGTCCCGTCTGGCTTATTAGACGAAAAAAAATAGACAAAGCCAAGAAAGCTCTTTTGTGGCTCAGAGGCGGCGATATTGAGCAGGTAAAAATTTATAACTCTTTTATTTCAATAACAAGATATTTTTCAAGCTAAATTATGAAATTGATATAACAATGTACATATAATTAAAACGGTTTTAATTAATTAGATGCTTGCGGAGGTAGAGCTGTTAGACACGAGCATAAAAGCCGATCTTGCTAAGAAGCCCGTAAATACCTCGCTTACAAAGAAGATCTCCTCCGCGATGTCCACAATTCGCGATCCGGGCGTGCTAAAACCATTGATTATTATCAACGTGTTCAATATGCTTCAATTAAGCAGCGGAACTTACATTATTGTTTTTTATGCCGTTGATATGGTCAAAGACATAGGTGAGAAAGAATTGCAATATCATTTTTCGGTGAAATTTTTACTTCCACCTGTGCGAAAATTTTAAGAGTGGAAATATTTAAAGTAGATAAAACAATAGAAAAAATGTATGGAAATTTTTATCATACCGTTTTTTCGTAGGCAACGGCAACATTGATAATTATTTGGCGGCTGTGGTAACGGCATTTATCAGGTTCATCTTCTCCATCGTTTCCTGTACTTTGTTACTTAAAATGGGTAGGCGAACTTTAGGCATTATTTCAGCGCTTGGCACGTCCTTGGCCTCGTTGATTTTAGCGGGATATTTGATTGCCAGGAAAGAGGGATCTTCCGTGGACGTAAGTATTTGTTTATTCGTTCCTAATTAGTCTCTTTTTCAGTTTTATTCAATACAACGTTTAAATTTAACAAATAATTTCAGGTCTACGTATTGGCCGTATGTTTGTTGTTTTACGTCGGTTCTAATACCATGGGTCTGCTGACACTTCCTGGACTGATGATCGGTGAATTGATGCCTCTAAGAGCTCGTGGCATCGGTGGTGGATGTATCTTTTTTATCTTCAACCTATTTCTCTTCTTCTTGACCAAATATTTTCCACTGGTAATACATCACATTATAAGATTTAAAAGTTCATTATACAGCACTCTTTCTGTGTGTGACAAAAATTTTACTAGTAACAATTATGTAATACAAAAGAAGAGTCTGATAAATAGAAACACTTTCTCAAAAATATTCAAATAAAAGTACTGAGATACTACAAATAATAAACTTTACTTTAAAAAAATTTTAGTCGGAATTACATATTCGTTTATTTGTTTTGAGTATAAATAATACAGCTGAGGAAGTTGCTTTATAAAAGTAACTCATTATCATATTTATTGTTTTCCTTTTTTTTTTAAGTAACTGTTATCTCCTTACTTGGTACTAATTTAAAAAAGTAAATTTTATTTTTTTGCTATTTGTGTTATTTGTCATAATTTCTATTACTTAAAAACTAACAAATTTTATAATTTTCGTTATTCTTTTTATCGAATTTTAATAAATTTTTTTATAGTCTAGCATCTAATTATAGTATAGCATCTAATTATTTTTGTTACTAACTGACAAGTTTAACATGAGATTCAAGTAGAAAACAAGTCATTGTAATATCTAAATGATAATGTCAGAATGATTATTAAAAGTCACTTTTTAAAATAACGATCCATTTTATGATAACGTCATTTTGATGTTATCGTGACTGTTATTCTGCTTGAGCGATCCACGCAGTAATTGTGATTAATCGCAACTTGGTTTAAAAATTTACTTATGTATATATTCCGTACGTATACAAAGTATCAATAAAAATAGTGATTATATAAAAAATTTAATTTTTATGAATAGATAAGTACATTATATTTTCTTATTTTTAACATAATGGTAATGGTTACCGAAAAAAAATAGTAATTGTAATAACCACACTATAATTAAAGTAACGCGCTACTTTTCCTTGCAAATATAGTAGACAAAATAATGTGAATCTCTAAGAAATATACTATCTAAATATTTATTTGTTTTATTAATAATAAATTGACCTATTATTTGTTCTTAATAAAACAGGTTCTATCCTTGTTAAAATAGAGTTGAATGCTATACCAATTGTAATATTAATCTTCTGGCAGAATATCTTCTAGAAGTACATTGCTTAAAGAATATTATAAAATAATATGGAAGAAATTTTACATATTTCTCATTCTGCTCTAAAACTACAAATAATATTTAAATCGAGCGATTGGATTAGTTAGAAAAGATGTTAAATAAAGTTTGGAGAACAAATGAAGGTAATTTTTGAAAATAGAATGAGGAGAAAATTTCCTTCTAATATTATTTATATGAACAATTGAAAAATATTGTATTAAAAAAATAGTACAACATTCTACTCTAATATTCAAGTCTTGAATAACTATTCCAATAATAAGGATATTATATGAAAACAAATAAGTCAACCTTTTATTGATAAAATAAGTGGTAAAATAAATAGTACATTTCCAAGGTATTTATATTATTTTGTCTATACTTTATGTATGCATACATTTTATGTAGAATATATAAAATATTATATAGAGAAATATTCTATATATTTCTGTTGTTATTATAACATATAATGAGATACATTAAATATTTTAAAGGTAAACGATCTAGTTGGCACAACGGGAATTTTTGCTCTCTTCGGCATCTTCTCTCTTTTGGAAGCAATTTTCATTTATCTTGCCCTACCAGAAACGAAGGATCGTACGCTTCAAGAAATTGAAGAATATTTTCAAGTAAGAAAATTTAATTGAGAAATAGAACAAGCTTTATTAATAACTACAGTAGTATGATGAATGAATAATCATATTTTTACAGCAAAGTAACTTTCTGTGGATAACCAGAACAAAGACAAAAAGAAAGAGCGTACATGTGCTTACAAAAGCTGAATCTAATTGTTTAATCCCTTTATCTGAATATAAATAGAACAAATTAGGATTTATATAAGACTGCGATAATATTTAATATTAGATTGTATATTTTTACTATTTCGAAATATCTATTGTAAGTATATCATGTTGATGTATGGGAATATGTGTGGTTAAATAGATGTATAAGTTAAAAAGTTTTATTTAAAGTTTATATAAGTTGATCTTTTTAAATAAAACAATTTTTGATAAGAGATTTTTTTATTCTATTATAATTATTTATAAAATAAATGTATTTTCTTAGATATAACAAGATAGATAATATATGTATATACAGATTTATTGTTTTATCATTGACTATATTTGTCTATGTCTTTTTGCGTATTAAATTGTTTTTTTTTTATAATTTTGTAAGAGATTAGCAATCACAATCCTGTTTTCATTATTAAAATATACAATCGATAAATTTTTAATCAACTTTTTGATCACCTAACGTACAAAATTTATTATCGTTTACTAATAGTTGTATATCTTAGAGAAAATTATGAATTTTTTTTTTTTGTTATGATGTATCTTCGTTTTTTTAATAAGATATTTGTAAGCTGAATGTATATATATTTATACATACATGTATATATATGTAAATATATGCAAAGTTAGTATGTGTATTTTATATTTAGTAATATATTATATTTCTACCTTATTTATACATATATTGTATGTTTTATTATATTGTGCTTTATAATTTTGTATTGTATTTTATTACAATATTAAATTATATTTCACATAAAATAATAAATTAAAAAGTATAAAATGTAAAGAATAGCAGGTATAATCGGCGGGGATGATAGAAGGTCTTGCAACTTAATTTATTATTTTCGCCCGAATAAAATTTTATTTGAATTTCTTTCATATGTGTTTATTTTTACAGATATGGTTTCGGGAACAATGTTAATTGTAATCTATTGTTATCGATTCTCGTATGTAATACTTTGAACACACATTGACACTGGAATAAAACTTTATTATCTTTTCAAAAGTTTTCTCTTTTTGTATATATATATTACATATACAGAGATATCTATAATCGCTATATGATATTCTTTATCTTTATTAATGTATTTCTTTAATATATATATTTATGTTTCGATATATCCCTCTTCGATATATTTATCGAGTTTTAAACACAGTTGAGAGGATTATTAATTTTTTATAACGTTTATGTCCTGTATAAATAAAAATTAAAAATTATTGATGACTTGATAAATTAATAAAACAAAAAAAAGAGGAATTCTAATATTATCAACTTTACATCTCTCTTTTTTCGTTCTCTATAGAATAAATGTTCTTTTCATGGATTCCTAATGTGACAATATTGTGTCATATTTGGCATAATTTCTATTATTTGTGCATGATGTATATCATAAATTGTTTATCTGGATTAAGAAAGATATGTCTTTAAACTACACAAAATGAATAACTGATTCAAATAACATTATGGACTGCTAAAATTTTGCGAATGGACTATGATAGTTATCTCCTTTAAGCGTGAGGATTGCGGAATTTCTCTCCAGCGTATTTCGCGGCTGCTCCAAGCTTCTCCTCGATACGTAAGATCTGATTGTACTTGGCCAAACGTTCCGAGCGGCAGGGTGCACCCGTCTTAATTTGGCCAGTCGATAGACCAACGACTAAGTCGGCAATAAATGTATCCTCCGTTTCTCCAGAACGATGAGAAACCATAGTACCCCAACCGTTACTCTTGGCGAGATTATGTGCGTTGATGGCTTCGGTCACGGTTCCAATTTGATTGACTTTTAATAACAGACAGTTACAAGCTTTCTTCTCAATAGCCGTCTTAATTCTATAAAGTAACAGTATAGATATATAGTAAATATACAATTTAATTTAATTTTTTTATATGAGCAAGTTTAATTTAAAATAGCAATGGCAGATAAAATTTTTATTACATATATGTTACCTCTCGGGATTTGTAACGGTAAGATCGTCACCAACAATTTGAATGGGAGTAGCTGCGGTCAAGGATGTCCAAGAATCCCAATCATCCTGATCGAAGGGATCCTCAATCGATACGATCGGGAAATCTTTGACAAATTCTAAATACAATTTCTTTAGCGCTTCTGGTTCCAGGTATGTGCTTGGATCTGACTTCTCATTTTTGAAATCCAAGTCGTACTTCCCATTTTTGTGGAATTCAGAAGCAGCAACATCCATGCCGATTTTGATCTTTCCTTCATAACCAGCGGTCTACACATTCAGAACAAAATTACTGCAAGCTGTATTGATAGCTGTTGATAATTGTATCATAGCAAATGCATTCAAGTTATATAAATCTCCCAGTTTACCTTAATAGCATTCATGATCAAATTAAGAGCTTCTTTGTTTTCCAAAATATTTGGTGCAAAACCACCCTCGTCACCGACTGCCGTGGCATCAAGACCGAACTTCTTCTTGATACCTGCTTTCAAATGATGGTAGACTTCACTGCCCATTTTCATCGCTTCTGTGAAATTAGACGCGCCAGTAGGCAAGATCATAAACTCTTGCATAGCTAGCTTGTTTCCAGCATGAGAACCTCCGTTAATAACGTTGAATGCTGGTACTGGCAAGATTATGTCATTATTACCAGCCAACTCAGCAATATGTCTGTAACATAAATACATATATTTATATATGTTTACATAATTTTTATCTTTACCGGAAAAATATGTAGAAAAATAATTTCTTTTAAGAGAAAGAGAGCAGTTTTATCTTAAAGCATAAAAATGTACATTTTGCGGTTTTTTTTTCAGAAATGTTAAATTTTTATAAAATTTTACATAAAAATATTTATTATTAAAGATTACTTGCGAGACTACTTTTAAATTACATGGTGTTTTAAAAAAATATAACCTTTCAAAAGAAAATATTAAAAAATTAAATTTTACTAAAAGAAAATTCATTATATACAATAATTTTTTTATAATTTATCTAAAAATAATTTTCCTTTTATGTAAAAGTGATTAATTCGTATGAAATATAATATTTACTTATACAAAGTTAAGCCTTTTTTCTGAGCACCAGCCTTACACACTGCTAAAGAGACACCTAAAATTGCATTCGCTCCAAGTTTGGACTTATTTGGTGTGCCATCCAGCTTCAGCATGAAATTATCGATATCCGTTTGCAGTGTAACTTCTATGTTTTCCTTGAGAATAATACCACATTTATCAAATGTTTCCATGTTTTAAATAACTGTCAAATATTATGTAATGAATGTTCAATATATCTATATATATTATATAGAAAACAATACCTTTAATAATTCAGGAGCAATGATGGAATTTATGTTTTCAATAGCTTTAAAAACCGATTTTCCATGATATTTTGATTTATCATTATCCCTCAGTTCCAAGGCTTCATGAACGCCAGTAGAGGCACCAGATGGTACTGCAGCACGGAAGAGTCCCAACTCGGTAACAAGATCGACCTAAAAGAGCAAATAATATTAGTAAAAGAGTATTTAATAAGATATTACACTTTAAAGAGTTAATAAGTTACCTCTACCGTGGGGTTTCCACGAGAGTCATAGATTTGACGGGCCTTGATGCTTTTTATCGGCATTTTGACACAATTGCTTGCTGACGTAAAGAGCCTTATTGAAATTAGAGAACTACAATGGAACAGTGTAAGAAAATTATAAAACTGTTCTTTAAGAATAAAAATTGTTTATAAAACTCTACTTTTATTCCTCGCGTTAAAATCTTTGTGTTACAAAATTAATGTCTATGCTACGCTGTTTGTCCAATGTATTTTCGCTGAAGATATAATTTTTTTTTGTACAATTATCGGATGATTTCTGGATGTAATGCGATCAATTGTTTCTTACTGTTTAATGTTACTTATAAATTGCTGTTCTGATAAAGAGATATATATAATAAATACAAGCGAAATTAAATAAAAAATATAACAATTTTTTTGAATGATGAAAAAAAGTATCAATAAAGAATACTCCAGTAAAGTACAGAAAAATTGAATCTTGCGGAAATTATCGTTGAATTTTGACAGTAAACGCAAAATGTCGATAAATCAAAGATATTTGTTAAGTCGCATATCGACCTTGTCAAGGTCATTTCATGATTTGTTCAATATGCAAGAAAATAGATGTCCGGCACAAGAGATGTCTGATTTATATTAAAAACAATTGCATGTCAAAAAATTACGCTATTAACGAAATCACGATTGTTAACGACCTTATGCTAATGAAGTTCCGATACGATGTAACCGGCATGTAACACCATTTTCTGAAAGTGTTCAGTCGTGCAAAAGAAGACATAAATAAATTTTGTAAAAACACGATTTCAATCCGCAAAAATAAGCTACAATTTTTCTGACACGTTAAACATTGCTCCGAATATGCTCACCTAACGTGACGCGTGACAGTTTGCACGAAACGTTTAACGAGGAATGAGGCTTGACCTAACCGACGACCTCAGTCGGCTCAGTGTGATGCAAGTAGAGAGATATCGATTGTAAGATGCGAGATGTTAGGTTAACAGAGAGAAAGAAAAGAAGTTTATCTCTTCATAATGCACGCTGAAATAATTATTTAAGAGGTAATTTTCCCTCATCATTGCTCCTGGATCGTTTAAAAATCATATTTGCACTATTGTGCTGCAATTATGCAAAACGTTTTTAGATGCTGTGCGTTCTATCATTAAATTTGTCATGATCGTAAGCCAATGGTTGAACGTCTTTTGGATACTGTTCGAAACCAATCGGTCGAATCTACAGATGCGAACCAATCGCGTTCGACTACAATTGATTACAGTATTTAAAAGAATTTGAATAATAAAAATGAGTTTTTTTTTCTTTTATTTATATCTATTATCTTCAGATTTCTTCTTCATTTACATTATTAAGTCTCTAACCTTTGGAAAGAAAAAAAGATAGATTCTTTCAAGGAATATAACAATTTCACTATATTTTCGTTGGCAACACTGCCATCTTTGTCCAGACATTTCAAATAAAATTCAATCATATCGTTCGTAGAAACGTATTGTATGTATAAACTATAATTTAATCATAATGTCAGAAATAATACAGTTAAAAAAGAACTCTATATATTACAAGAAACCGCCATCTAATTTTTGCAAAAGTGACATAACTCAAAATATTTCAATTTTTTGTATATTAGAATGATATCAAAATCATTATAACTAGAAGAGGGAGATTTTTTAAAAGTCATGAAATGAAAATGACAAGTTATATTTGATCCAGTTCCTAAAAATATATTCTTTTTGTCAATGTTATTTGATAATCAGTAAGAAAAATATACTTTTAAAAAAATCATATTTTTAAAGTATATTTAATCAATTATCATATTTAATCAATAGTCAATTTTCTGTTAAATTAAAAAAATAAATTTTCTATTTAAAAAAAAAACATAATGTTTTTAGTTATGTCAGTTTTGGAATAAAGGACCGACATTAAATTAATGTTTTAACTTTATGACTCATTTGTATATTTTAATTGTAAAATTGTAAAATTTTATTTTAAAAACCTACACATATATTTATAACCCTCAACTACAGCTACGAAAATAATATCTAAGTTATAAAGATCTAAAGCATTCTGTTTGTATACAGAATGCAAATGAACCTTCGTCTTACAGCAAATGATAGAGGAAGGTTTTCAATATCTTTTTACCTATTATTTAGAATTTTATAGTATCGATCATATACAGATTGAACAATCGTCTATAATTTCTGTGTCGGGTTTAAATGATTCATTGCTGTACTCGAGGGTTAAGAGAATTATATATTTCAAATTATAATTATTTATATATTTATTATGTTCATATATTACACTATAAATATATTAGGATACTGTCAAAGAATATGTTTCATTTGCATCGCAATGTTATAATAATGGATTTTGTATAAATAAAAAAATAATATGTATATATTAGAAATATCGAATATGATTACTTCACGGAAGAATCTATCGCGTAGAAGTAAAGGCAATCATTTATTTAATTTCTTTTTCGTGTTTAGATACAGTACACACAAATATATACAGACGTTACTGAGCACATTTACAACGGTTTGTATCGAAATGTGTAATCGCGCATGCTGCGACCAATATAGATACAATAAGCGAACACGTCGATCTGTCGCGTTCAAGCGAGGTATTGGCCGCGTTGCGCAATAATATTGTATACAAATAAATTAAAGACCTAAATTAATTTATATAAATAAATTACTTAGGTACACGAATGTCACGATAGTTAACGTATTAATTCGCCGTTTTCGCCTCGCAAAACGACGGTAATACTAGTCCGGCAATAAAATATATTATATCGTGGTCCTAATCGTTTTCCGATTGATGTAAAATTAAATAGTTCGGCGATCGAACACGCGGTTGTCGCATATCAATAATCAAATATCAAGAAATAATTATTAATCTATGAATAAATATCACGTTAAATATGTGCATTACCTGTAAAATATCATCTTTCTTTTCCCTTGCGACCGCGCGAATGTAATATACGAACACTGGGGAGATTGTACATATTAATATAATGATACACAGGGCCGAACATACATTTCGGCAGTGTGCCAAATTACGATGCATACTCATTGTTTCTGGCACTTAGATTAAATCATGTGGCTCGCCTTGTTTATGTTTCCTTTTTGTAGGAGTGCGCGTCGCGATAATTAATCGCATAATTAATTAATTATACCATAGATACGCAATAAAAAATTATAATCGCAATCGTCTTGAGAGAGCAGTTCTTTTTTTTAAATTTTTTATACATAGACTGCAGCTTGAAGATAGGTACTTGGAGAATTTTCTCGCGTGCCAATGCGATGGAGAAGAGTTTCGTCGCAGCGACAATTGAATTTCCCGATTTCTTCCTTTCGATTCGAGACTAACGAAGAACGGAATGTATTCAATTTCACCATGCTGCGAAATATGATGGAATATATAATATAATGGAAGACTAGGCGTCTTCGTGAGGCGATTCTGTTTAATATTCATTATAGCTTCACGGTATCTAACATATACTTAGCTTGAGTGAACGTGTTGCCTCAAGCTTATCTGATAAAATTTCCACTGTTAAGTGGTTGTAGGAAACTCACACACATACGTACACATCGACAGAAAATAACGTAAAAATACAGATAACGTATTATATGCATACGTGCACAAGAGATACCAAAATTACCACTTTGTTGAGATTATCTTTTGCCAAGCTGATGTCGTTAAAGCTTCATTCATTCGTTCACAAGGATCGATTCTTAAGCGAAAATATTCTTTAACGATATTCACGTCATACAATTCTTCTGTGCTAGCTTACATACAGGAATGATTTTACGATTTAAATTATAATTATATCTCGATAGAGGGATGTCGTTCGCAATGACAGTAATAAAAAATTATACCGTTTGTATGAGATATTGTCACCGCAGTATACACATTGATGGAACTAAAATTTTTCATTATTAGTTTGCTTATTTATAATCTTATCTATGATTATAATTATATTCTTTTGCATCCCTTATTTATTTTCATTATATGTATATATATATATATATATATCGGTCGGTAGCTCGATGTGTTCATAAAATTTGGTCAGACTCTTTTATACCTCTTAACATCACGATATGCTGCCTAGTATTTGTACGACGTATAATTATTTTGTAATTAAGAATAACTCTGAAATGACTGACATCAACATTTACTCGTTCATTAGAACTTTAGATATAATTGTAAAGTGTCCGAAACTGTATTTTCGTAATCCATTGTCCAGCTAACGTATTGTCTATTACTGTTATTATGTAACAAGTGTAATCATGTTTACTGTAATGATAATGATTATCCAGGGATTATTGGAATCGCTTCAATATTTTCTTATTAAATTAATTATAAATTCGATCAGGTCACCTCGATAACATTTCTTACGTCAAAACATAAAGTATCAGAAGCTCAGAATCTTAGATTTAGTGATATATTCTTAGTTGTTGATAATAATCTCTTTAAATCATGTAGGTACAGTGTCTGATATAGCGAGCCACATTTGAAATATGAAAAATCACACCGATTAACATCTGGCTCCGATAAGCGCGTAACATGACATTCCTGCGATTTTTCTTGCCATAAGCTATTTATTAATTGAATCATCGTTGAAGATTCGCATGTAACGAAGAAGATAAAATATAAAGTCAATCTAAAAAAAGGGATGCACATTTTAGTTCTGAGAATATTACATTGGCGTCACACCGTCGTGCACATGATGGTGTTAATCTCAAACAAACATCAGCTCAAGAAGTCTTCAATGTTGCGACAGAAAGTTAAGCTAAGTAAGTCCTATGATTAGTCTTCGAGACTCCCACCGGAACGTCTCCTTTGGTAGAGCACGACGACCATGACTCTTCAGCTAGACTACCGTATCTCTGCACACCCGGGAAAGGAGGTCCGGAACTCTGCGGTGAGTAGTAGCCGCCCTGCAGCTGCTGATAGTAATTACCCCCGGACTGTTGCTGATACGGCTGGTACTGATCGCCGGTCACCAGGACGTTGCTGTAGCCCGAGTATGAGCCGTACTGAGACGACGAGTACGAGGAAGAGGAGTAACCGCGTTCGCTCAGACTGCGGTAAGGCCCCGAGTGATGGGGCCTACCCTCCTGTCAGACGGGAGTGCTGACCGCGGCTGAGCTTATATACTCGATGTCACCGATGCTTTTTACCCGTCGATGCCGCTTACCACTGCCAGTCGACATTGGCCGTGGCGGAAGCTGCGGCGGCGGCGGCGAGTTGCTGCGAACGCTGCTCATGTACTGACATTGGCTGGCGAGACTCCCGGTGTCTGAGGACGATGATGGTGACGCCTTCTCGCTTCTAGGCCGGAGACCGAATGCTCTGCTCAGGGATCCCTGTGAAAAGATGTGCCTCGATTAAAAAAATTATGACTTGTAAAATCTGCTTATAAGCGGTGGATCTCGACTTTCCAGAAAGGTCGAAGCTACGAGCAAATGAGCGATCGGGAGATGCCCAAGTACTAACAGAGTTATAGTTTAAACAATACGAAAGAATGAATAAAGTTCTAAAGAAAATTTCTAAAAGACGTCCGAAAAATTAGAAATCTTTTATAAACGTTTTTTACTAGTCATTTAAATTTTTGCGTTGCTGAAAAAGTTATTGAGTTGAATAAAAAGAAACCGCGGAGTGTGGAAATTTAGATAGCAGTTGTAAAGAAGTTAGATCTTTCTTCCATATTAGAAAAAATAATACTAATATTTTTTGGTTTGAGTAAACTATTGTTTAATTTATTTAAATGTGTGACAAAACCTTTTAATATTACGTTTGTAATATTTGCCCAAAAGTAAAGTATCGCCACCTAAATTTCGCTAAGACACCCGCTGTATCTTTTAGAGTGAAAGGATAAACGAACATGAGACAGAGATTTAGGATTCGCTGGGTAGCAGAGTGATTCTTGCAGAATGATTAAAAGCAGTAGATATAGACAGGAGGATGCACGTGCTGTAACAAAGAGGAGAGCCCACCGTTTTTATTTCGTCATTTTACAGCAGGTGTGTTGGTGGGCCTATCCTGATCGTCGATCTCAATAATTCAAGTGATACGGTCAGCAGGATTAATGGGAACGTGTGTGAGGGATACTACACGGATATAAGTACTTGAATGTATATTAATGACGCATACCTGTGAGCTCCTCCACGATAACTAGCAACAGGACGAAATAAGGTCGATTAAGAATCCACACGTTGAATTTTCACATTGATATCGTCAATTTATATTTACACAATCGATTATGACGGGCGGCCGCGGATCGCCACGGCGCCCGTATGCAGTCATAAATAATGGCCCGCTATAAATACGAACGTTTGCTACGTAATTCGAGCTGCATAATGCATAATTTTAATCGCTACTCGCTATAAAGGTGTACCTGAAGACACGGGACACTCTGCTTACATACACGAGGAGGACACGTGTTCGGCTAACGTATATGCTCGTTATATACAGTGTTTACAGTGTGGCATAACGCGTACGTCGGTGTACCTTTAGCGCTGAGAATAGGGTATTATCGCGGGATGTATAATTTCGATTGCATTGAGTAATAATTAATCTCCTGAATATTTTATTAATTAATTCGGCTCTTTTTCTCTGTTATCTTCCTTTCATTCAATTTATTTATTATGCCGCAGAGTATAAGAGAAAATAATTGAAATAATCCAAATCTTTCATTAAAAACTTTATAAAAAGCATAACATGCTTTTGCATATATAAAAAAATAAAAAATACAAATATTCCCGTAACGTTTTTCGCTTTTCGATATTTTACAAGCTTGGATTTTAAATATTCATTATTTTGTGAATAGAAACGGATGAAAACCTGGTTCTCCACTGCGCAAGTAATATCCTTTTCTCAGCGCGGCAGATTGTCTGGTAATCTGATTGGACTATAAAGACGGAAACAAGGTGTACAAATAGATGATTAAATATAAGAAAGAGATGTTTCCGCGATCTGTTTCATTTTCTATAATTATGAATAATACGACTGCAAGGCTTAGGCTCGTACTCCATCAGTCTTTTTCTCTTTTACCTTGCGAACGGTTATTTGACGCTGATTCAATGAATCGATATTCACGAGTTCAGGTGTCTCGCGCTCGCGCTCGACAGACCGGACACAACGATAATTACTCAATTATTCCAAAGTCTGTTATACAATCAGTTTGTTCGATTACTCCTTTGCTCACATTTTCAGGTCTGTGCGATCGAGATCGAGACCGAGAGAAATCGTCTGGATCTCAGCGAAGCGATGCCTCAAATAGAGTCGATCAATTAATCGCGTTAAACAGAAACCTATCGTTTCTCTGCTGCTTCGCCGAGATCGACGATTTTCTTTCCCGAGCGAGGAAACGTTTACGCGAGAAAAACGCTTCGTCGTGCCACAATGCCGATACATTTGCTGATATATACTGATGGTTTCCTATTTTACTTTCCTTAGAAAAAAATGTGGGCACCAGTTTACGAACGATCGAAACATTAATCTGATTGTCGCGATAGATACATATGTATACGAAATAAACCCTCAATTACAGTCACCCATTTGGACTCGAAATAAAAATTTTAGATGTACAATTTGTACTGATTGAAACTATGAAATTCTAAATAGAAAAAAATTCTTTTTTTATTAATCGTCGTAAGGCGGAGTTTACTAATTGCATTCTGTACTTCAAACAAAATGTTTTGCAACTTAAGTGTATATATATATAATATATATATATATATATAGCTTTTATAATTGAGGGTTAATAATAAATTTAAAAGTTTTCGATCGTAATGCATCATACTCAATTTTAGTAAGAAATTATCAAATTATTTGTAACAATGCCAAAAGTTAGTCTCGATCAATTGCTTACTCATATACCCTCGCGTAAAATCGTTTTTACAAAATCTCCTGCAATTTAAGAAAAAAATTAGTTAAATTAATATTAAAAAATTATCTAAGTTGTGTGTGATAATTCTATTGTAATTAATCTTCGTAGATTGCCGATTATTGGAGACTTTGCAAAAACATACTGCAATTAATCGATCCGCAATGATGCAGCGAATCGACAGGTTTTGTAATAAATATTTGTTCCATGATATGGAACAGTATACAAAGAACTTTAAATAAAGAAACAATGGATATATATATGTAATAAATACCGAACCTTTTTCAAGTAAAGAAGACTGCAGGTCTGCGATGATCCACAGGATGCAGGGACAATGATTAACATTAGGTTGAGCTCATAGCTCACAGCGTGAAAATTTTGTTATTGATTCTCGTCGCATGAAACTTCAAGCGAATCGTAACATTTTTTAAGTAAGTAGCCGACTAAAATTTACTTTTATTTAATTTCATTTAGTAAACTGTATAATTATAAATTCTTTTTACATAACAAACGAAAATTATTAACTTTATTAAACAGTGCCCATTGTAGCATTCTATTTCGTTGTTCGTATTGTTTCATAAAATGCATAGAAAAATATAATATTGAAATTCTATTTATAATTGATAAAAAATATATTTCATTTGACATATTAAAAAATAATTTGTTGTACATTAATTTTAGTTATTATATTAGTTATTACTATGTGTGAATTTGCAAGATATATTATTATGTATTAATTTGTTAATTTTTTAAAAATAACGTTGAAAAGCTATAAAACAATTTCAAAACGATTAACACAATTCAAACGGTCATTTGTTTCTTCTTCGACGAGAATTAATAATATCAGGGGAAAATATTTTGCTGTAGAATGTTATGCGAGCGTCCTTAACTAAGCGATGCCATGCAGTCGTGCCAATAATTAATAAAAATAAAGAGCTAATAGTCGCATAGATGAGATGCATGAAAGTGCGCGTGGAAACGGGAGTAAATGACTGCACAATAAACTGTGATTGCGTTTAAAATGAAATAATGAATTAATCCTGATGAGTTTTTGAATTTTTCAATGCGTTTGTCTGTGTTGTATAATCGATTGTCGGTATAACCTGTATTAATTTATCTAATTAATTGTCGAGGAAACAATACCGCAGAAAATAATAATAGATATTTCTTAATGGATTATTAATATATTATTGGTATGAGATAGTTAAATAAATATTAAATAATTTTAATATTTATTTGATTTTGCAACGCAAATAAGATTACATTTTATACCATTCCCAATTCTTCTTTTAGAGATAGAATAAAAAGAAAAAGAAGTCTATTCACTTATTTAATCTAATAAAATATATATTAAAAATATCACATAAATATCATTTCTCTAAATATCAAATTTTCTACAATGCAATGATCATGGTAAAAACAAGCATAGGCTTAAAAAAGCAACTCGCCAAGAGATAAATCTCTAAGAGATATATCTCGCACTATCCTTATCTCTTTCCAAGCCAAATAAAAACGATCAAATTACAAGAATCACGATTAATTGCAATTAAATCCAATTATTTGCATCACATAATTTAATCTAATATATAATATAAGAGTTACACAATATGTAACAATTTATTTTGATGAGAGAAAAAGCAAACATAGATATGCAAGCTCGACTTGTCGAGCTTTGAAATTTGAGCATAAAAGGCAACGTTTGAAAATGATTACCTCGGTAACGATTAGGCCAAATTAATGATACTCCTCGTTCGAAAGAGTTAAAGGAAGTGCAGAGGCGAGGCGGGGAGCGGCATCGAGTTCCTGGCGCGCTTGTACGCGGACCAGACCCTCGCTGAATCTAAACAGTACGTTACCCTGAGGCTGGATCTGCGTCTGTCGACGGTGCCGGTGTGGTTCGCCGTCATGTGAAGGGCCGACAACGAACTCTGGTGATGCTGTAGGTGTAGCGCCCTGCTTCCACGACCGAGACTACCCCCCGCGCTCGCGCTGCTGATCGGACGCCCACTCCCACCGATGCTGTTCCTCGGGACCACCTCCAGCTGACTTCTACACACACACGCACACCATCCTTTTCATGCACGCCTTCTTGCGTACATCTTGGCGTCCTTGATCGCCTGATATGCACATACCTCGGACACACACACACGTGTGACACGTATTACAGCGAACCACCTTATGAATATATATCTCTTTTTTGCAAAATTTTTATTTCTTATGGAAAATCTTTGT